ATATCTTATTAGAAAATCATGAACTAAATAATACTCTCATCACTTAACAACTAAAGGAACTAATATATCTTATTAGAAAATCATGAACTAAATAATACTCTCATCACTTAACAACTAAAGGAACTAATATATCTTATTAGAAAATCATGAACTAAATAATACTCTGTCACTTAACAACTAAAGGAACTAATATACCTGTGGAGAAAGACAAGCTGCACACAAAGCTCCTTAATTTACCTGCTAAACATGTTAACTTACCTGCCTATCCAAACATGTTAACTTACCTGCCTATCCAAACATGTTAACTTACCTGCCTATCCAAACATGTTAACTTACTTGCCAAACATGTTAGCTTACCTGCCTAGCCAAACATGTTAGCTTACCTGCCTAGCCAAACATGTTTTAAATCCTGCCTAGCCAAACATGTTTTAAATCCTGCTTTTAGAATATACAGATTTTTACTGGACAGAATGGATCACTAGGTTATAAATGATGGCATTATTAGTATCTTGTTTTAAGAGGGCAAAAGAAAGAAACAGATTTTATTTCATAGAAATGGAAGATACAGGTCCTTTTAAAAGAATAATTTATCTATTAAACTACAAATTATTTTTAGAATTTTTTTAACAGAAAAAAAAAAGATAGAAAACATTATTTACTGAATTTTGAAACATCACAGATAGCATACTTAGTTTCAAATAATTCTATTGACTTTAGCTTCCTTACTTCATGTTACTACACGTGAAGCTATTCCTATTTATCTCACCCTCTGAAAGAAGTTATTTCTTGCTGCTACATGTGACGCTATACCATTAAACTTTCCTTCTGAAAGAAGTTATTTCTTGCTACTACATGTGAAGCTATTCCTATTTAGCTGGTGGCAATCACTTCTTGCTACTACAGGTCAACCTATGATGTCATGTCAAAACTGTAACTACCAGTCTTCACCTTATCACTTGATGTAAAATATTTTTCAATCATTCCCATCTCTTATGTTAAATCTATACCACGGAAACGATACATTGTTCTATTTGAGAACATCCTTAGTTTAGTTCCTTACTTTTTGAACCTTTCTGTTGCACACACATTAATCAATCACATCACTAACAAACTTAAGTTGTGTATGTTTATCTGTTGCCTTTATTAGATTCATTAGTTTCTAACCTCCGAAAGTCAAATTTGTTTCTCAGAATATCTGATATACTGCTGGTTGTTTGATCAGCATTGTTCATCCTTTTAGGTAATGCAGATTCTACAGAGTTGAGTTTATCAACTGACACCTCTTCAGCTCTCTTGGTATGTATTTCTTTATCAGCTGTCACAGCACCTTCCTTGATGTGTGGATCACTGTACTTAAGAACCTTTGAATGATAAGAAAGGAGAAATAAGCCAAGGTTAAACAAACTGATTCTCTTTTAATAGATTTAACTTTATTCCTGACAAGATACTAGTGTAGTGTACAACTTTTCTGTAATTATGTATTTAGTTGTAGTTACTTCTTGTGACCCCTGTATGTGTATCTCACACTTTACAGACTTTCTTTGTATGTATAATTAGCCTGAATATAACAGCTATTACATGTGTGTTTGCAGGTTTATCATTCACTTTCAAGGGTATTAATCAGGTGTCATACAACTACAGTAGATTTTATAAATAGTATTAATCAGGTGTGATACAGCAACAGTAGATTTTATAAATAGTAATAATCAGATGTCATACAGCTACAGTAGATTTTATAAATGATATTAAAAAGGTGTTATACAACTACAGTAGATTTTATAAATAGTATTAATCAGGTGTCATACAGCTACAGTAGATTTTATAAACAGTATTAATCAGGTGTCATACAGCTACAGTAGATATTATAAATAGTATTAATTAGGTGTCATACAGCTAGCTGTATGACACCTGATTAATACTATTTATAAAATCTACTGTACAGTAGATTTTATAAATAGTATTAATCAGGTGTCATACAGTTACAGTAGATTTTATAAATAGTATAATCAGGTGTCATACAGTTACAGTAGATTTTATAAATAGTATTAATCAGGTGTCATACAGCTACAGTAGATTTTATAAATAGTATAATCAGGTGTCATACAACTACAGTAGATTTTATAAATAGTATTAATCAGGTGTCATACAGTTACAGTAGATTTTATAAACAGTATTAATCAGGTGTCATACAACTACAGTAGATTTTACAAATAATATTAATCAGGTGTCATACAACTACAGTAGATTTTATAAATAGTATTAATCAGGTGTTATAAAGCTACAGTAGATATTATAAATAATATTAATCAGGTGTCATACAACTACAGTAGATTTTATAAATAATATTAACCAGGTGTCATACAGCTACAATAGATTTTATAAACAGTATTAATCAGGTGTCATACAACTACAGTAGATTTTATAAACAGTATTAATCAGGTGTCATACAGCTATAGTAGATTTTATACGTAATATTAATCAGGTGTTATACAGCTATAGAAAAGGTTATCTGGATGATAAAACCTTTACTCACCTTTAATTGCAACATTAAGAATATTTTTCCTCCAGGTCCTGACCTCTGAAGAAGAAAAGGCTGATCTAATCGATGATCAGGTTCTTTTAATAGCTGGGAGACTTGCAGAGAACAGTTCCCTAAACTTTTTTCAGATTTTGCATCTCTGACCTATATCGAACACAGCAATTAAAATGAGGCATAAATAATTAATTGCAAGACATAAAACACAGATATTGTTAAACTGTAATAATTCTAAAATATTTACACACAATATACTAGTGAACTTATATTCTCCGAGTTAAGTAATTTGTCACACTTATAATGAAAAACCCTGGTAAACATTAGTGAACACTTTGGTGGTAAATGATAAACTAATGAGTCTATAGTATACAGATTTTCATCTTTCAGAGGGTGATTATAGTACCAACAGAGTTAGTACAGTACATCCTGAGAGGGTTAATATAGTGTTTTACCAACAGAGTTAGTACAGTACATCTTGAGAGGGTTAGTATAGTGTTTTACCAACAGAGTTAGTACAGTACATCCTGAGAGGGTTAATATAGTGTTTTACCAACAGAGTTAGTGCAGTACATCCTGAGAGAGTTAATATAGTGTTTTACCAACAGAGTTAGTACAGTACATCCTGAGAGGGTTAGTATAGTGTTTTACCAACAGAGTCAGTACAGTACATCCTGAGAGGGTTAATATAGTGTTTTACCAACAGAGTTAGTACAGTACATCCTGAGAGGGTTAGTATAGCATTTTACCAACAGAGTTAGTACAGTACATCCTGAGGAGGTTAATATAGTGTTTTACCAACAGAGTTAGTACAGTAGATCCTGAGGAGGTTAATATAGTGTTTTACCAACAGAGTTAGTACAGTACATCCTGAGGAGGTTAATATAGTGTTTTACCAACAGAGTTAGTACAGTAGATCCTGAGGAGGTTAATATAGTGTTT